GGGGTTCAGCATTAAACTGGAGCGTTGGGAGGGTTAGAGGTGAGGAGGGGAGGGGGCGTTTAGGGGGGCATATGGTAACACCCTAACCTTTCATGTCCCCCTTTCTCTCTCTCTCTCTCTCTCTCTCTCGCTCTCTCTCTCTCTCTCTCTCTCAGTGTCCCTTCTTGTCCCTGGTTCTCTCTCCATCTCTCACCCTCGACGTGTGTCTCTCATCGGTTTCCATGGCGACCTGGTGGCTGTGGTGCTGCTGATGCTGCTGAGGAGAAAGCGGCGCGTGCATGAGAGGGGGAGGAAGTGGGAGCGAGGCAACGGGAAAGTACAGACAGGGCATCACCACACAGCTAAGGTAACTAACAATAAAAAAAAAACAAAAAAACAAAAAAACAAAAGGAGGAGTAAATATCACTGCACAGATCTAATGTTATGTTCTCTCAAAGATGCCAATTTGCCAAAATTTTAAAGGTCCCAGTGGGTTCCAGGGGATTCATTTCCTGCTTAAACAATCTGAATGAACTCTAAACAAACCATAAAGTTCTCCAGCTGAATGTTAGAATGAGCCCAGCTGTGTGACTCTCAGTAGATATTCACCACAGTAGCTCTGCTGTTTAGAATAGGTGGTCTCCTGTATGCTGAATCCAGCAAGCCACAGAAAACACTTCCTGACAAAAGTCCTTCCTGCTCTGCATGTGCAAAGACAGTTGCAGTTTCCTCCGATTACACATTCACTGGCATGTTGTGTTCGACTTACAAATCCAATGTCACCAGATTCTGTGCAATGGGAAAGCATCTGTTTTATAGTTACTTTAAAAATTTAAAACGATAACACCTGAATGCAAAAAAAACAACAACAAACAAACCTCAAAACATTTTCTGGCTTTATATTTATAACTTAACTCTCCTATTACTTTCAAACTTACTGACATCTTTTATCCTTGGGTTCAATTTCACCGAAGCAATTTAAACCTCCAGAAAATATCCTAATTAAAATTGTTACCCAAGTTTGTGTAAATAGCCCTTTAAATAAAACTGTAAAAAATTATATCAATGACTTATTTAGAGATGTTGAACACTGAGTGGGGTCAAATTGAGCCCAAACATAATAGGAGGGTTAAGCATAACTTGGCTCATACGTTCTATTTTAAAAATCTTGTTAGGAATCGATACTGACTGATAACTACCAACCACAGAGAGCACACGGGAGGAAACCAAAGGAAGAAGGCCTTCAAGAAGATCACCTAATCTAATTTCCTCTCTCTACAATAAAAGCCGTACCGTTTCCCCCATCAGAGGGATATACGATATGCTGCAGGGTATACATACAATAACAGAAGGCTATAGTGTCCATCAGCTTTAGATGACACGTTTCGGTAGGAGGCTGATTTAGGCCTGAGCTACCACGAGATGACTTGAGTCTCCATCCAATCAAGGAGGTGCAAAGAACACCTGTGGACAGTGGAATAAAGTCTACGGGAGGATGATGGCCGGTCCCCTGCCACACGACCCGGCATTACATTAGGTTTTGTACCCCAATACAATTTGCTCCGTGGAACACAGAACCACCTATGATGTCTGTGAAGTGGTTTAGGCAATAAACTGAACATTCACTTCACCAAACGTTCACACTGTGGTATATTGTTAAAAAAAAAAAAATAACAACGGCTTTCTATATTTCACTTCAAGTTGTTTCTACAGCAAGTAATAGAAAAGTGAAAACACATGTTGAAACTTATCAGGTCATTAAAAAAAGCAATATAATGTGATTATTTGCAATATTGGTTCAATGGTTGTGTCTTTCTTCTCGGTTTGGTTTTTCAGCAAAATGCATCACAGGACTGCTGCTGTCTTCTCTCTGTCGCCATAGCAATGGGATCTTTGACCCTGTCTGTGGCATCCTTAACCTGGATGTAGATCAGTGAAGCACCGAAGGACCCTATTGGCTGAAAGCTCTGAGGGTCGCCCAGGCAGTGAAGATGGTGAGATTCAGGGGTTTGCTACGGCTGTCAGGCTGAAGTCCTGCCGTTTCAGGCTCAAAACAATCTTCCCGCTGTAATTTATTTTACCTCCATGAATTTAACCCTGGAAAGAGAGGGTGTTCTTCAAAGCAAATGACATTTTAGCCATTACGCTTATTCACTTTCCTGCAGAGAGTTAGATGAAGACTGCTCTCATCTCTGTCTGTGAAATTTGTAGTTGGACGCAGCAGCCAGTTACGTCGGCCTAAAGAGTGGAAACGGCACGAAGCGACGAGCATGGAGGAGGCAATAAAATCCATCTACGAGTACTTCTAAAGCTCTCTGATTAAGGAGGTCACTGCATCTGGCCAAGAAATAGTCCTGCACACTATAAACTATAAAAACAACTTTTTTTTGGTTTTCTTTTTACATGTTTTTGTACAGATTAAACAAACAAAAAAACAACAAATTTTCATAATTACTGGGCTTAAGAGGTGTTGGTGTGCACAGCTAACTGATGGCTTCAAAAAAAATAAAAAAAAGATCTTCCCAAGAAAGCAATTTAGCAAAGATTAGAACAATTTTAAACTATGACGTATCATTCCCGTAAAGATCCAAGTTGATACGGAGATTGAACTGAAGACATGCTGGCTTCCTGCACAGATTTGTTTTGGGGGACTCATTTCTAGAAGGAAGGAAAGAAGGAAGGAGGAGATTCAGCCTTAGCCATGCCAACCTCAGCCTAATTTTAGGTTTGCCAGCAAGATAAATAAAAACAAGTGGGTGGCGGAGACGCTCAGGTGTGGACCTCTCCTGTGGGAGAGAGCAGACTCATGGAAAAAGAAAAAAAAAAAAAGAAGGTGAAACGTGTTGATGCTGCTCTGCCTATATCTTGTCCTTGGATATTTGTGGCCGTAATGTTCTTGAGCGCTCCAGATATGAGCCCCAGTTTCTCTGACAAACAAATCTCTCATTGTGGCAGGGCCGTCCGAGGGACTCATTGTTCAGAGTGGGAACATGGCAGCACCCTTTGAGTTGGACCTCTATAGTTTTGCAGACTTCTCAGACACAGTGCCTGGGTCTCCCTGTGGGCATCACAACGCTGGTCTCGCTTAAAGGCTGGGTGTGGTGAGAACTGGGTTTTCAAAAATCTCACTTTTCCCCAAGGCAGGCCTGGGGCAGTTTAGCTGGCCATCAAACAAGGCACACTCCGAACAGGGTAGAAACGGCCCTATCAGGTTTTTCCCAGAGGGCTGGTCCCGCTTACAGTTCTCCACGATGCTAAGTCAATAATAAAACTTTATTTGTACACTCAGCAGCTTTTCAGATGTGGGGTGTTGCCAGAACGCTCTTAAATGACCCAATAACGGGGGTGTCTTTAAGGCAGCGCGACACGGAAGCAACAATCATTTACGCTTAGCTTTGCTGCCGAGCATTGGCTGCTTCAGTTACAGATTTAATAATCATAATAGATAAATCACAGCTCTGAAAGCAGACCGTGAACCTGAAATAAATGACTTCCTTCACCATGTCTCCGGCTTGCTGTGTGCCGTATCATCTTGAGGATCCTTGACTGGTCTAAAATTAAATCAGCTAATTAGAAACAAGTCTGTTAGTCCAGAGTGCCACCTTAGATTTTTTTTTTTTTTTTTAGAATGAAACGAGGTGGCTCTTCAAAATGCCCTTTTGGCGACATTTACATCATTTATTCATGTGCTTGAGGAGTGTGTTGGTCTACATCAAAGGACTTAATTATGTCCAAGGAGGCCCAGAGATGAGTCAAAGACCTCACACACCATCAGATGGAATCCGACACTTGTGAGCAACAAATCAGCCTTGCTTCATTTCACAGTGTAACAAACACTACAGGTCTTCTGGCTCATCTTTGCTATTCACTGTTATAATAAAAAAACAACAATTTGCAAACTATCAAATTTGAAAAGGAAATAAAATGTTCCTCAGTTATTTCTGACCAACATGAATGGATTCAGAGGACGTAATCTTTGGATTACACGGCTACAAAATGAGATGTCATGCAGAAAAGTGTGAATTTTCTTCTAAAATAAAAAAAAAAAAAAAAGATATACACAATCTCAAAACTACAGAAAGGCTTTAAGAATGGCGTTATTGTAATATCGAGCAAGACTACAGAGGTGTTTAAAAACAAGCACCTCAGAATACATTTTACAGCCAAAAGGCAGCACGTACGACTATTTTAATCCTTTAAAATGTGCATTTTAGGTGCTGTCTATCTGAAAATTAGGTATTTTGGGACCTTCAAGCAACAAAACGTTACAAAGAAGGAAGAAAACAGCACAAGGGTAGGAAATCTGATAACATGTTTGAAGCACACACCATTCTTGGGTTTCATCATGCTGACAGCTTAGAGTGAGGAGAAATAATTAAGGATCTGATCCACAGTGACCTGTATTCGATGGACCTCTTCAGACCATTTGAGGGCAGGGAGAGGGCACACTTCGTCTAATACAGGTACAGAAGGTGGAGGACCAAGGAAAATGACAATTCAGAAAACTGTTCAAAGTAACCTAGACAAGCAATATAACAGATTCCAGACAGATGAATTTGAGAATATTAGAAGTGATGATAGTGTGATGCGATGATTAGATTTGGAAAAAGGCGCTTCTCATAGCTCACCACAGGCCGAAAAGTTGAGAAAATCTATTTAGGCCATATGTTTGGCTATGAATGTGCTTTAAGTCAAAAAAAAAAAAAAAAAAGACTCGGTCCTGTGTAAAAAAAAAAAAAAAGGAAACGCTTTAGTTTTTGTTTTGTTTTTTTAGGAAAACTAGGCAGGTTTTAAGGAACTTTAAAAAATAAAAACGTATTTAAAAACAAACCATTATCTACAGAATGTTCTTCTCTTACATTATTGGCAGCAAAAAACTAAAACTGTAGCAATTTCTATTGATATATTAAAGGACTGTGATTGCCTGAAATCCATCTATTGGCTAGTCAGAATATACATACATACATACATATAGTCACTTTCTAAATGTAAAAATCTCAATAAAAATGTGCATAAACAACTTTAGGCAATCAAAATCTTTATTTATTCAGCAGAAATCATTTCGAATGTATAAAGATTTCCACAAAAAGAATTGCCTTATCAAAAGCAAATTTTCATTTAACAAAAATTTTCCCCTGAATCAGTTACAATGAAGTGAACAATACAAATATACATTAATAAACTCCTTGACCAAAACCCCACAAAAGTAAACATGGAAATCTGTCCATTGTTACTCTCTCTGCCCAGCCCTGCAGAGACCTGCACTTCAGACACTGTCTGCCTGCCTAAGTCGTGCCTGTATGAAGGGACTTAGAGTGAGGGGCCTTATTGATCGTCTTCTATGAGTGAAGTCCAGGCATTAGTTCCAGCAGGGCGAGTAGACAGCTGTCCGTGAGCCACTCTACTGGGCCTACATAGCAGGGCTGAGTGGAGCCGGGATGTGCACCTTTGATTTTGATCTCCCCAACATCACTTCTATTGACCGACGCACTGTCCTGTGCTTTACTTGCTGAGAGAAGCACTTGCTGAGGCCTAGCTGGAAGTCCAGGCACAAGCCACCATTGCATTATCCGGGTTTCTGTTGACAAGCTTGTGATGATGAATCTTCCATGGTCTGCTGAGACCTAACCCTAATCACTGCTGTCATCTACTGGCAACTGCCATATCCACTGACCACAGCAATCACAAGTTGGGTTATCGTGGCACACAGGGCTGGAATTCCAGTGTTTGTTATCTAGCTGTATATGTGCGCTCTGCGCTCTCCGAAGTTAGACACAAAGGTCAATCTGTAGTGAGAACAGCTCACTCTTCCTTCTGTCCTTATTTAAACATTTTTTGATGAGCAGAAACTTTTCTTGGCAGCTTATTTTGTCCGTCTCATTAGTTTTGGCAAATAAAATTAACATTATTTCTAAAGTGCCAACATTTCAATCAAAACTAAATGACCACCAGTGAAGTATGATTTATTGGTTTTAGTGGTTTTGAGAACTTCAAGGATAATGTTTAAATGTTTCCGTTAATAATTTCAGAAAAATGCTCAAGAAATGTTTAATAAGGAATTTTGCATGACTGCGGCTTGTAAAAAGGCTGTATCAGTGAGTCTGTTGATGGTTGGTGACATCAATATGTAGCGTTTCCTATCTTCAGTGGCAGCCCAGTTGCCTTAACTTGTTTATTTAAAGACTGATAGTGTCATTAGAGGCTTACCACTTGATCTCACGTCACAAGCTTGCTCGCTCCTGTTCTCACTGAGACTAAGAGGAACAATCTTCGTGTATCCTGTTTCATCGTGGCGTCTTAAACAGTCGCACCTGTGCACAGAACCAAAGGGAAAGCACATTGATCCATTATTAATCATCTTTTATTCACAAAAAATAATGTTCCACCCAAAAACTGACAATCCTAAAATACTGACGGCCTGTGATGAACACAATCAGTGGTAGGTTCTGCCATCTAGTGGTTACTACATGGATTGCAACTACAAAACAAGGCCTTAAAATGCATCCAAAATTTTCAGCACCCCAAACTTTTAATTACATTTCCCACTTCTGTATTTTTCAAGGTAACTATAATGCACCCAAAGCCTCTCATCAGTCTATAAAGCCCATTGATTCTCCATTTGCCCACCATTACTGGATGACAGCATTTGTCTTGCTCTCAGCAGCCTTCGGCCCTCCTCGTAGTCGTCTTGGTCCACACTGATCAGCAGGCGGACACCCTCTGTGCCCGCTGCCATCCTCAGAGAGTCAGTAATGAAGACTCCCTTCAGAGCCTCCAACAGAGCTCCGCTCAGGTAGTCGCCCCAGAAGGCCTCCAGGTTGTCCAGTTCTGTAAACTTGATGTCGCAGACGATGGAACCCAAGTCTCGTGCGCGCAGCAGTGAGTTGGCTTGACTAAACAACTCAAACTGCCTCTCCAGTGGCTGCCGCTTGTCCGAGGAGACACCATCCCGGAGCGCCGACTCATGCTCCAGGTATTCAGCCCGGACACGTAGGCGGATGTCTGATAATGGTAGAGGGAGGAGGAAATAGTGGCGGAGAAAGGGGTGAAGAGAGAGTGAAGGGTGAAAGTAGTCAATGGGAGAGGAGCAAGTAAATAATGTGGGTTAAAAAAAAAAAAAGTGACAGTCAGGAAAGGGTGAAAGGAAAGAGAGCAAAAGAAGATCGCAGTGCAAGTGAGGAAAGATGATGGAAAAGTGAACAGCAGAAGTCAGAGGGGATAGGTCCACACAACAGATGGACAAGGAGGGGTCATGAAGTCAAAACAAAAGAAAGAGACAGAGGAACATGACAAAATTATTACCAGTCAGTATATTCAGGTTAATGCATTACATTCAGCAAGGATTTAAGAGTTTAACAGAGTTCCCAAAAGGAGAGTCTACAGGGTGAGTTCGAACGGGACTGGAAATTTTTACAATGAATTACTTCCAAGATATTTCTTTTGATCAAATCCTTACAGGACAGCAAATATAATGGAGCAGCAGGGTGGAGCAAACTGTTAAATGTGCAGGCCACTGAAGCTAGACCATCCCAACTGTGTGCATTGTGGTGCTATATACAGCCAGTTCGTATTGGTGAGAAAGGATTCAGAGCACTGAAAGAAACACTCCTCAGCTGATCCAGTAGTGTACTTCCTTTTCCTGCCCGGCAATTTGATCGTATTGGATATTATTGTGAGCAGTGACTAAAATGACAGAATCAGAGGAAGCTGGTGAATGAGAATTTTCAGTAGGACAGCCTGAGCGGTTCACATAAATCATGGCTGTGGCATTCATGTAATAAATACATTCAAATGAACTTGACACCCTGAGCCAATATGTTACGAGTAATGAAAACAAAACTCAGCAGTGCCAAGCCCCGGAGTGGCTTTTTGTTCCAGCCCGATGCTTAAAAACATCGGATTAATTCATCAAGATGCTTAATGCTGAGAACAGATAGCTTCTGGAGTTCCGCAGTAACAGAATTGGTGGTCATGCAACAGCACAGCGAGAAATATTAGAGGATACATACTGTACTGAGCAAGAGCAACGCTGAGATCATCCCCCATGTCAATATTCCAGAGCTCCAAGTGGAAACCAGCGGCTGAAGACTTTTGCTGCAACAAAAATCCATCCCTCCCACTCAAGCCCCTTCAGTAGACGTAAACAGCATTTACCACCAGTGACATCCATTTTTCCAGAAACATTCTCATCAGTGTCTCATTGCAAAGCTGTGAACAGAGCTTCTGCCAGGAGGTTTTAAAGTGATAATTGCATTCCAATTTATGTAGAGTCCAGCCCAGCCAAAAATGTATTGGACACTCTCAGTGAAACTTCACAAAAGGACCAATTAGATACAAACAAACAAAAAAGTAAATCTGTCTGACTTAGACTGAAAATACAATCTAGAAAATGTTACATTAGCTTTAAATATTAGATAACCTCAAACACGTATTTTTGGCAGAGTGGGATGGTTTTTGTCACTTAACAGAACTGTGCTCATATTGTGACTCTGATTGCAGGACAATGACCACGTTCTCAGTGAAGCACACAAGGACCTTATTGGCCTTAACATGAGTAGCCTTCAAGGTCTGAACCAAGTTAACAATACAGCAGCTGCTTCTCCACTGATAAATGGTCCGCGTGTCAACTCAAGAGTCACGTCCACACACTTTGCAGCCATATTTTGTTTGGGGCTACGGGGAATAGCAAACGACTCGAGAGGGATTAAGTTTGGAAAATGCCAACATTAGAAATGCAAATGTTGAATTAAGGCATCGATTTTGCATCTCTTAACATTTGTAGACGAATGATACACAAACACTGACTTTTGCATTCATGCTTCATAAGTCTGTAATTAGATTACTATAAAAACAGAAAATTGGCTCAAGGGGGACACTTAATCAATAAGGTTTAAGAAATGTTTAAAATATGCTGGGTTGGAAATAAGGTCCAATTGGAAACCCACCTGCAGAAGGAGATCGTTTAATTTACACTCTAGCTTGCTCACACACAAAAAAAATTAAATTTAAGATTAGAAATAAGATTTGTCTTCAGAGAGGCATTATGGTACAAGAATGTGACATTTTACAGAAAGCATTTGGTTTGTAATTTACCAACTAACAGACCATCTCTGTGTAACAACATCTTAAAGACCAAAACCTGCGAAACCAAATCCCCTTGGTTCTGGTCAATCTATCGACAACACAAACAGATACAATTTCGACACATAAGAAAATAGAAAAGTCTCGTCACACCACAGATCATGACTGTTATTAAAGAACGTAGAGCCTCTATACCAAGTATTTATCCTGATTTTTTCATGTTTTATTAACATTACAAACACTACAAACATGAATTGGGCATTCTAAAGTATTGTTTAGCGAAACGGTACAAAAAAGTACTAAAATGACAATACTCTCAAATGCAATACAATCAGTCATAAAAAAAATGCTTATCTGTCTAGTGTATGTGTACTCAAACACTCAGTGTTAGTACAACATTTAGTGAGGAAGAGCACTAAGAGACCAACGAAAACTCAGCATGACTGAGATGGCAGACACTGTGGACAAAGCCAAACTGGACAAATGTAGAGAATGTTGGTGCTGGAAAAAATAAAGAAATGAAAGTGGTAGACTCCAAGTGGAAGCAGATTTTATGCTCGGGAAAAATAAAACTACTGTTTTGGAATTTTGTTGTCTACATTCACCTCAGGTCTGTCGCTTCTCACCACCAGAAACATAGTATCCCCATAAACGGTGGCTACATCATGCTGCGGGGATGCTTCGCTGCAGCAGCTTTATTGCTTGTGAAGGTAAGACTGTAAATTGAATGCAGCAAAACTCAGAAATCCTAATGGAAAACCCGCTGCAGTCTGTGACTTGGATTTATTTTTCTGCCCAATAATCTATAAATTTGTACAGATTTGCTTTTACTGTCATCAAGTCCTTATTTGTTTTTCAGTGATGAAAATGCATCCACTGTGTTTTAGTGGTGTAAAGAAATAAAAACATAAACACGTCCAAGGTAGAGGGAATGAAAACACCTTCAGTCACTGTAAATATCTGCTCTTTGCAGGCTATTGTTAAATTAGCAATAACAGGACGTGTTCAAGCATTTTTAAAGAGAAGACTATTACAGAATGTCAACAAGGGGCATCTATTTGGAAAGGGAAGCACATTTCTGCATATCACCTAACTTTTTCACACTGTTCGGTACAGGCCAAGTGAAATATGAAGTGCCGCTAACAATTTGACCTTTAGTATCATTACACCTGCCCTTCATGCAATTACTGTATTTATGGATGGCCTCCATTTCGCCTTCCCATTTCATACTGAGCAAGATGGAGGTAGAGATAGTGACACTGAGGAAAAAGCCTTTTAAAACCACAGGAACACAGTGATAGTCATTTTGTTAGGGTTACAGAGCACTTCATGCTTCGTCAGACACAGAGACATCCACTTAGACAGGACATTAGGAAGCACAGCTTTCATTTTCTCACTTTAAACACCAAACCCGTTTGGCTTCCTCATCTTACCCCACGAAAAAAGAAAAAAGAAAAAAAAAGAGATAAAAAAAAAAAAAGAAAAAAGTTTAAGTACCCATTTACAAGGAGTCACTTGGCACGAAGAGCTTCAACTCTTTATCGATCCGTTTTTCTGCTGAACGACTGACCAAGAGAGTGGAGAGTTAGCTGACAGAACTCTCTCTTTTCCCCATAGAGAAAAAAAAAAAAATCACTTTGAACCATTTTGCGTAGTTTGAACATTTAGTGTTCGTTCTCTCCCTCTCATTGTGTGTAAGGACACTGTTTTCCTGACACACAGGTTGGTCTGTTTAGAACTGCGAACACAGAGAAAGGAGAGAAAGAGAGAAAGAGACAAGCACAAGTGGGTTGGATATCGGTTGACTGGGTTGTTTCTTCAACATCAAGCAGGCATGGCACAGCACTCAGTTCTCTTAGTGGTAATGAGGTTCGAGTCAGGCTAATAGATGGTATTGACAAGTTAATCAGCTCAGAAATGAGTTTACTGTAGCTCTACAATATAATACGGTGGTATCTAAGTGGGATGCTTGAACTTACCCTTACCTTGACTAATCCCCTTGCTTCCACCTTCACCAGCCTATAATTTAAATAATCAACAGTGTCCATTAAACCAGGTAAGGGCCTTCACAAGCACCCCATTTAGACAGCACAAAAACCACTACTGAGCTGAAGGTACAAACACCTTACGGGCATTTGTCACCGCAGTTGTCATTGTCAGAATGGAATTGAAACACTTCACTGAGAAAGATCAGAGATGAATCATGACAAACAGTATTAGAGGTTTGTTTAAATGCTAGGGGCCAGCATTGGACTGAACTGCCCTATCTATCTCTGCCCCGCCTTGACAAACACACACGAGGGCTCACACGGGGCACAGAGATAAGATACAGCACGAGCTTCCTTCAGCAGAGCACTGTTTGATTATTTTCCTTCAGAACTGCTTGAGTAAAGGTTACATAGGCATTTTATTAGCAGCTGTCCATTGGCAACCATCTTAAATTCTTAGAAACAGAGTAGAGGACCCGGCCTTCCAGAACGACATGGACTGAATTTGAATTTTTGTAGCTGGAGATTCCAGAGCTGGCCTATGTGAACCTTTAGTTAGCCAGTATGATTTATGTTGATTGAATCTCAAGCCAAATGTTGAAAACCATTTGTAATGAGGATTGTGTGAGGGGAAACCGTGGATCCAAAACATGCAGTTTTAACTCATACTTTCACAAACATGTCCAACATATTTCTGTGTTGTCTTACAGATTGGACTTTATTGTACAGTGCTTAGTTGTACAGCGTATTAATTAAGTACTTCAGCAACCCTACCATTAAAGCTAGTTTTATCTTTATCTACAGATAACCTAAAACTTTACAAAGCTTTTTGATAGTTTCAGCAAGAGATCTTTTATTTTGTATCTGTAAATGGTGCCTTGGCAAGTCTAAATAATGTTCTGTCTCTTTGATTGCTATTTAAACTATAAGCACAGCTGAACCATGTGTAGACTTCATACATTCTTCATACACTGGCATATACAGTCAGCAGTGTCAAAGTGGATAATACTTTAGAGCATGTCTAGCTGTTCAAATTAAATCTGGTGCATCTCTTAACTTGGCTGATTGAATTTAGCCTCCATTCATCAGCAATGTTAAGCAGACGATTTTCTGTAACCTCTGCCACATTTGAGATTACATAATTTGTGCTTTTCTTAAAATATACAACACAATACAATGCATTAATTAACTGGTGCATTGCTGTTGACATATTTGTTAGACATTTTCTCAACTACCCCACTTTCGATCACGGGCATCAAATGCTAATTTGCTAATTCCAATTTTCAGTGGCCTTTTATCAAACTACCTTTCGGTCTGGCATTTCTGTATGTTTAGCAAAGCACAAGTCATCACAGACAGCCATGCCAAGACACAGAAGCAGTACACTGGCCATATTTGTGAAAATATGTGATGTTGACTAGGTTTATTATTCTCAGAGAATGCCAGGCAATATAAATAGACTTGGACTACACATTTCCCCATTAGTATGGTTTTACAGAGACCAAATTAAGTTGAACTTTTTAGAGGTTTTTTTGTTGTTGCTTTTTTGGAATGTTTGCCTTTTACAGCAGCTTTGAGACTTCTTTAAAAGGCTTACTGCTGAGGACTCTGTCAGTTCTGTGAAACACTGACACCAACAACTCTTTTTTTTCAACATGTAAATTCTCAAACAGAGTACGTTCTCTTCCACAGTGCACAACACTAAAGAACATCACAAAGATTTTTTTTAAGAGCACATAATGTTTCCTGAGGGGGACAGGGTAGGGAGCAGCTACACTATGATACAAAAGCGTCGTATACAGATTAAAGTGGCAGCACCAACCCCTGTTGTAACAAGGGGGAGAGCCTCTTTTACCTTAGGCATCGGCCCAGACTTGTGAGAGAGCTGAGAGTGCATGACTGAGTTGATCACACACACTGAAGTATGTACGGACAGAGTGGAGTGACAGACTTTTTTGTTTTGTTCCTCAGTCTCCCCCTCTGTCTTCATGATCCATTGTGTCTTAGGTTACTCGATCTGAGTCACAATCTTGAGTCAACCTGGTGGAATCAAATGTGGAGTCAAGACAGCAGCACGTTTATAGAAACAGGCACATCACTCATCCAAAATATCCGAGAAGGGATGTCTTCATTATCAAATGATTTATTTTTTTTAATCAAATCTGAATAATCAAATTGTTGTTGTAGTAAGTATTTCTGAGCAAAAGGCAAAGATGGGCGTTCAAAAAAAAAGTTTGCTCTGCATGAACGACTAACAAACTTCACACAAAAGAAATCTGATGTTAGTGTTATCTTAGTCATTTTGTGCTGACAGAAACTAGCATTGATTGATTGAAAGGCAAGCAATAGTTGAAATTCGGAGCAGGACATTGACAATGGAGTATGCAATGTATCTTTTCAGAGAAGTTGCACTGTTTTGAACTGCTCCAAACTGTTTTCCAGGTCAATATGCAAGGTTTGACAGTTGTCAGAACCACCTTATGACAACTTTGCATCAAGCTTGACGATAAAGGAGTTTGGACAGAAGGACAAGAAACAGCCTATCGGTATGCGTTCTTCTCAACAGCAGCAGCTGAACATGGTTCAGTGGGTTAGAGAAAACGTGAAATGAGGCAATAGAGTGTAAAGAAGGACCAGAGGGATAAACGGATAAGGCAACAAATTCTCTCTGATGTTGGATTTCTAATAAAAACTAGGGGTGGGACTTTAACACATTAACGCGTTAAAGTCCCACCCCTAATTAAAACAGATACTGCAAGTCTCAACGATTTTACAGTATAACAATAAAACCACGATGTGAAACAGCTTTAATACGAAAGACGATGTCAGTCATCTCAAAGGGAAATTAATGCAATGGCAAATGGTTGAATCGATTTTTGTGAAACTTTTTGGCTCAAGTTGTACGTCTGCCAGAGCCCAAGAAGCTTTTTATGTGCTTAAGATGTAAAGTGAGCATCTGCTGCACACACAGTGAACAGGGTGTTGAGTTTCTGGCTCCATGAGATATCAGAACAAAACTTTGTTATAGCATTTTCTAGGAAGTGTTGACAAAATAATTAAAAATAATAATTACACTGTCTAGTTCAGAAGTTGTGGTCTATGTAGCAGAGACAGATTATATCATTAAATTCCTAGTTAATTCTTTCAGTGTTTAGCTTCGGGGTTTAAAAGTAGTCAAGATTTTTACACCAAATGTTTCACCGAATGTGACGCAGGAATTAAAAACATTTTTTTTTTCTGCAACACTAGAACCTCTGACCTAGGTCTTTCAATTTGATTCAGTAAAGGTCAAGAACATTTAATAACTGAAGTATGCTGACATTCGCCATCAAACGCCCTTCAGTATACATTTGTCTGGAGTGAATTTGGTGTATTGCTCTAACTGGGATCAACTGGGTCCCATAAATTTGTCTATCTCCTCTGAAATACGTTAGTAATCTGTATGTTAAAACTTACTTCCTGCTCTTTACACTTTTTTTTCCACAAAAGGAAGCAAACAAACACAATTAAATCATTGCTTTGTACTAGGAATTTTTGCAAGGACCTAAAAAGCATAGGACAATGTGCAATGTTATTGTGTGTACAGATTTTTGGGATTGAACTTGAAAAGACAGGGAATTTTTTTTTACTCTGTGTACACGAACTCTACAATGCAAGCCAAGGTTCAGCAGAGATGAACAACATCAGAATTAAGGAGGAAAAAAAAGGAAATCTGGAGATGCTGGGGAAGATGTTAATAGGCGGAAAATCAAATACTGGTTTGTATGATGAACTAAAGGAAGGGGAAATGATCAGCAGGAGCAGAAGAAAAGTGCAGAATGAAGTCCCTACAGGAGGCAAGAGATGGAAAACAAAAAGAATGACAAATTAACAATGCACTAGCAACACTTACTGCAGGACACTTTCTGCAGCGCCGGTGTTGGAGGCACTGACTGGCTCTGTCTACTTGTTTTCTTGGGCCTGCGGCTCCAGCCATTTCCTTTCTTCTTCCTCCGCCTCCTAACAGATGGCCCAGCCATTGGGGGGTAAACACCTGACAGAAAACATGTGGAATGAGTCTGTGAAATTACAGTTGGAAGATTTATACTGTCCTGACATTTACAAAAAATAATTTTTTGTTTCCTTTCATCCAAGAATAGCAACTCAAAATTTTAACCTGTTTTGTAAACTGGGGTTTCATTGACTCAAGCATAACAGATGTACCTTTTTGTTTATCAAATGGTCTGAAAGATAAATGTATACATTTCAGTCAAAAAAGTAACATAGACTCATTGTCTTTACTGTACCCAGACCAGTCATGCTTACTGCAGTGCCTGGTCACCTCCCAAAGGCCCATTCTAAGCCAGGAAAATAAAAGCTGCCAGTTTTCCAGTTGCAAAACGTTCTGTGATTCATCATGGAAGATCTCCCACAAGCATTGGGTAGGTAAGCAGGTACCAAAACACCTCTTGATCATTAAATATTATAATACACATTTCTATCACACAGAAGTATGGAACAAACAAAAATTCAAAACAAGAAAGGTACTGGTTGCAGTGTAAATATGCTACTTGTTGTAAAGAATCATAACCACTGGTTTCGGACAGCCTCTACACTGCGTAACTAAAATGCGAGTGGAAACAGTCCAACCTATACTTACAGTGGGTTGCATATTGTACTACAAAGCACTTACCAGTTCTCAACTGCTGTGTGAAAGATGAAAGAGGTACTTCTGTCTGTCTGCAGCTGTGTCGCATTCCAGAGGCACACACCAGCCTTCTACTCGCTACTGAAAATCTTTGTCCAAGTCTCTCTGGGGACACTGAAAAGCAGAAAAGCATAGATTAATAACCATCAGGCTGTAACTATTAGGAAATAAATTCAGTGGCAACATCCACAGCAGTGAACATAATCTCAAAACCCCTCACCTGTCCTCCTTTTCTTGTGGGACACTAAAGGCAGCAGATCATGACGGGTAAGAACTCTAAGTAGTTGCAGTAGTGGCTCCAGGTTGCCTTCGCTAAGGTATCCGTGCTTCTCAAGCTCTAGCAACAGCTCAAGGCCACTCTTGGGCTTGGAGTCCATTAAGGGTCGCTGGGATCCCTGAGGCTTTAACCGCTTCCATGCCTTTAGTAGCTCTGGACTCGGGGACACACCTGAGTCATCTGGATCGTCCTCACAGGGCTCAGCTATCCAGCCTGCTGGATCAAGAGGGTGTGGCGCCGAGCAGGTCTCATTCAGAAGGAACGACAGCACTTCAATGTCAGTGTCTGTCAGCTGAGAACCAACTACTTCAAAGACTTCATGGAGAGACAACATCCCATAGTAGTGTAGGCACTCAGTTTCATCCCAGTACAGTGAGTCCCTGAATGGGTAGCCTGGATGATGCACTGCCGCCATGGTTAGGGTTTGCTTCTCACAAAGCTCCACCTGTGCCGGGACTGATAAGGATTAAAACAAAGCACATGCACACAAAAGCATTACTTTAACAGAATGTTTCTAATTCTCAGAAAATGCAATAAGGAAATAAACCTATAAAATTCTTTATAAATTTATGAGGCTTTCAACCATCCATCTAAAATGATGGCAAAATGCTATACTCGACGGCAATGTATGCACACAAGTTACTAGTTTCTCATTGTAGGGACTGCCTTCTTATTTAATATACAAAAAGTTTGACCTCGTTTCATTTCCGTGTAGCATAATGGAATATTTCTTGCGTTATATTGTAAAGAAACGTCCCCTGTTGGCCCAAAACCAGGTCTTGTCGGGTGTCCGGTGTACCGCTTCCAGCTGGCCGCGTTCCGCGTTCATTGTCATTTAGCATTTAGCAAAAACAACAACAACTACTACTAACAAAGCCGTCTGTGCTGCATGTCACACAGCCTGTCCTCCTGGATACGGCGTTTCAAGTCCTACCTATTTTTAGTCGTCAGCTGTGTTGTCGTCGTTTGAACAATAAAGCAGCCTGAACCAAAACATACGAGTCGCTGTTTCCAGACGCCCAGCAGCAACCTCCGAGGCAAATTTCCTGCTTGACACGTTACGTAACTGGTCACGTTTCTCTTAAAAAAAAAAAAAAAGGGAGAAAAAAAAGAAAAACACACATTAGCATGAAAGCTCGCAAACACCTAATTAGCGAAACAACCAAAGTAAAACTTCTAAGTAATGCTAAATGTCATGTATGTTGACATATTTATCAAATATGTCGCTCACTACAGAGCAAAAATTGTCCATTTGTAGTGAATGCATTTGCGATAATTGTTATCATTTATAGCTGACATTAGCTATCTACAGGCTTTGACAACGATTAGCTCGCAGTGGTACAAAATGTCACTATAAGGATATAAAAGTGTCGAATGCAAAGTGAAAGCGATGGATATAAAAACAAACTGACAAGTGGTAACTTACCTTCCTTGTGTAGTTGTTTTTCGGTGGATGATGTGGATTCTTCCCACAGCGGAGGACTGCAGCCTGAAAACGCTAAGAAATGGACCAATCACAGGCCTCCGACGGCTTCACCACTTCCGGTCACGTTTTCGCCACTGATTAAATAAACAACAAAAATAAAAACCTATTGTCTCAGTTGTTGCGTAAAAAATGCAATTATCCGTCATGTAGAGATGGTGTAGGATTTTTACAGAATAAATTTAAAAAGATAACGCATGTGAGTACAATGAATATGTAGTATTTGTACGGTACAAACACATTATAAAAACATATTGTTAGGCATCAAGCGACCGTGTAGAGGAAGGCAGCTCCTCGGTGCGGTCGGTAGGCGGCAGTGTTTGGCACCGCTGCAGTAGCAGGCTCAGTTAAATCAACATCCGTGAGCCACACATAACGTCAGCGAAAGATCTGAGACGGCCCGGCTAAACTTCTGATGTGAGTATATTTAGTTGAACGGTTATAGATGTGACAGTGAAGGCAGGTCCGTTGTTATTTGTGGTTGTCTGAAACATACACACGACGCACAGCGATGTCAAAATTATGTCTCTGCTGTGGCCAGAGTGAATATGAACGCTAGCAAAGAGGCTAACTAGCAATCTTTTGAACAACCAGCAAAGTTGTCTCTGCTACACGTTAGTAATATTAAATCGTACATGTGTACAGGTTTTTTGTAAACGATATCTAGTGACCTAATTACATAAAACGCTGTGTTTGTTCACTAGACAACACTTCCTTGAATTTCCTGCTTGTTGAGTGATGTGGCACTGACCAAGCCCTTTGTTTGCTAACATTTTCCACTGCTCCAGCATTGCACTGTAGCTAAGCTAAGCTAAGCTAAGCTGTGTGTCTCAATGTAAAGCTGTGTGAAGGTTTCTAACTGGTGTTGTGGCCAAATAAGTTCTACATATTGATACTTGGTCGGTGATTTATCTTACGTTGTTTCTTGTGACATTTACTTTGAGGGAAAACGTCAACTCCATCTGACAATAATGCAAGCTTTCATTACTCTAATTCATATGTTAACCAACCGATGAAGGTTTTGTTTCATTATGAAATATCTTTAGCCATCAAATATATAAATGTTTAGTTTTCCTAGAAAGAAATCTAATGTTATGAAATGAATAAATCAAGTAAATCCCCACCTTTGTGAAGTTGTAACCAGCAAATGTTTGGTATTTTGTATTGAATGAATATAATATGAATTAATTGTTTATCTGCTAATACCGAGAGGACTGATTAATAATCTGATTGTGTCAGCCCCTATGAGGTTTTGGTGTAATGACAAAAGGATGATTTGTAGCATCTTCCTTTGCTTAGTCTTGAACAGTTTTTTTTTTTTTTTTTTTACATTTGATACCCAACATTAGATAGCACTGTAATTATTTGTTTGTTTTGTTGTTGCACTGCATTAGAAAGCATCAGCCACCATCTATACAAACTCATGGACAAAACGATTCTTAGTTAAATATAAATGATGTCAGTAACTACATTAAAACTGTTTTTCATTTTTATGTTTTATCACTCACTGTTTCCTCACATCAGTCTGTAGATGACATCTGCGGCGCCAAAGGGGGAGAACTGCCTTGTCGACATGGATAGCAAGGCTGGAGATCTTTTCAGTGCAGAGGATGCTCATCCAACTGGCACAGGGGGAGCTGGAATCTTGGCAAAGTATGTGCTGATATTTATTTTTACTGTGATGTGCACCAAATTCATCACACACATTTAATGTCATTGTGAAGAGTGCTTGTGACTCAAACCTGCTGTTATTATTTGTCGGCTTCTTTATGTTTTCTTAAATTCAGTTTTGTCTTATTTTATAGGCTCTGGCTCCCCAAAGGCTTCTCGGCCAGTATGGCTAAAGAGTGGATCGACAGGCGCCGAGTGTCCATTCGGCCTTGGGCCAGCTTTGTAGACCAACGCAAGTTTTCAAAACCCCGCAACTTTGGAGAGCTGTGTCAGAGGGTGGTGAAAAATGTGGAGACTTACAACAGCAATTATACCTTCATCTTTTTGGGTCTCATCCTCTACTGCATGTAAGTTCAACAAGGAGTTTGTGTTGTTCTGTTTGGTCAGTGAGGAGGTTTTCACCTTCCTGCTATTCATTGGGTCTGTATGTCTTATGCATATCAGAACCGTCATGAAAACTATCTGGGAGGTTTTTCATGTGTCTGTTTTGACTGCTGGGTAACGAACAAAGGGAAACAGAACATGAAACTGATGTTAAAAACAAAAGAGGGAGAAAAGAAAAAAGCTTTACACTTAATCAAAAAATGCTTCTATAATTAACACGTATTTAATTGGACTCTTGATGTTTCTGCTCTTCAGCATCAGCTCACCCATGCTGCTGATTGCCTTGGCTGTGTTTGCTGGTGCCTTCTACATAATCCACCTCAAGTCTTTGGAGTCCAAGCTGGTCATCCTTGGTGAGTAATGCTGTCACGAATGCCTCACAAACTTTTACACATTGACCTGTGCAAGTAAGTAATCTTTAACTCCCCAGTAACTTAATAAAACTTTGTGTTTGTGTGACTACTCAGTTACATTAAGCATTGGCAGGCTAGTTTAAATATTTGGACCATATTTGATTTAAACTTATTTTTTAAGCAAATTTATGACCTGTTTTTCTATCAGAATGTACATGAAATTGAAATACATTTAATCAGTTTTTAATGGTAAACAAGTTAATTTATTGAAGAATAGATTAAATGTATATTTAGATTGATTCTGAGAAAGGGAAATATATCTTTAATTGTTGTCTTTTCAATTAAACGTAATCAGACCTGCAAAAAGCAGCACAGAACTACCTCTAATAAGTGCTATGATTTCATACGTTCTCTAATCTGCAGTTTTCTTGTCAAACAGGCAAGGAGCTCACTGTCCCTCACCAGATGAGTCTGGCTGGGGCGGTCTCGCTACCGGTGTTCTGGCTGGCTGGAGCTGGAGCTGCGGTGTTTTGGGTTCTGGGTAAGTTAAACCACATATGTTGTACTTTATAGGCAGTGTTGTTCTGAATGTGCAGGAATCTATGTTGAACAAATTCTACTGTTCCTTTCAATGCATCTCTGGAAAATATTGTAACCTAAATTGTGTTCATGCTATTTTAAATCTTTTCCTTTCTGTCCTCTCAGGGGCAACGCTCTTTGTGATTGGTTCTCACGCTGCGTTCCGTGAGCTGGAGGGATCTGACATAGAGGAGCTCCTCATGGAGCCCGTGTGAAGATCAGGCTAAACTCTCAGCAGGTGCCGGTTGGTGATCAGTTATCATTTTAACCTTGTAAATGTGTCAGCCCATGAAGGTTGTGGAACAGCTGCTCCTGCTCCTTGCCTGTGTCCGTATTGTATGTTCCCTGTAGTTTACTGATAACGTTGTATCAAGAACGCACTTTGTCTTGCCTCTGAAATAACTGTTGTTACAGACTGCTTTTTAAAACTCATTTATGCACATGACTTTCCATATGCACAATTAAGTAGTTTCTGAACGTATACCTAAGCTTATTATTACACTGAATATACAGCTTTTTCTACATATTGAAAACCTTGGATGCCTCTAGTTTGTGTTCGATGGCTTCTTGCTTCTCACAGCGCCCCATTTATATAGTGACATATCTGACCTGTAAACAACTAATCTCTAACTGGACCATCTGTGCTGTAGTCTCTGCTATAGATATCTTGGGAAATAGATTACAGCTGAGAGAGACGTGGATTTCTCATGTAAAGAGTATATACATGTGGGTGTAATGTTCACACTACAGAATGGGCTGGCTAACTTATAAACTGGTATAAACTGATTTATTTTCCAAAGGAAAAGTGCCATTTAAAGCTTTACAATTGTGTCTACCAATCATTTAAAAATGAAATGACTTTTTTTTATTTTGTGTTTGGTATTTCAGATAGGCTTCCTAATAATGATAGGTTTAAGATGAAGACATCTTATAAGGTCAACACTTAATCTTGGTACTTTGTATTGGAAATTATACTTTGCTGATCATCTATATGCATTCAGATCTGAAGGTCATGTAAAAGTGATTTTTTTTTCTTGAATTTATTATTCATTTGTTTACATTTTGGTGTACATTGGGTGTTATGTATTCACAATTTGGAAGTGCAATAAACTCCTGATGTAAAGCTGGGTTGTCACTGATATGTCTAGGTCCACTTTTTTTTTTTGTCTCTAATTAAGTCAGTTTTGTGTTTGTGCTATTAAGTTAATGCCACAGTTCACGTCTATTTGTGCATGCATGACAGGAGTTGCGGTGAACTCGGCGGCCCTCAGCACTTTGTCTGTACATTTTCTCATTATTCTGCTCCTGTCTGAATGCACAGCGGAATAGGACAGTTCCAGCCCTCGTGGCTCCTCTTCTCCATCTCTAGAACACCAAATGCTGCAGCGCTCGCCAACCCCCTATTGTCCCCCCTCCTTCCCTCTTTTCATGTGACCCCTGTGACCTGCGCTCTGAGACAGCACAGCAAAAGGACCTCATGCTCAGGTTGCCATGGCAATGACCTTGGAGGTCCCTGGTCAAACACACACTCACTCGACCACAGGCACACTCGCTTACACACTGCGGCAAAGGCAGGCGATCGATATTCTATTATACGTAGGGTGGCGGGGGGGTGGGTGGGAGCAGAGAGTCGCACTGCAGTGAGCTCACTGCAGAGACACGGGGGAAATTAGAGCGAGGTTGAGAGTGTGAGCATGTTTGTCAGTGAGAGTGACAGAAAGTGGGTGTGCGCTCGTGTGTGTGTGTATGTATGAGCTGGAAACAGTGTGTTTGTCATTGGACAGTAGTGGAGCAGCTCCACAAACTTTTTGTGCTCCTCACTCAAAGGCACATGCGAAATTTTCTCTGGATGTGGCAAAGTGACCTCTCATAAAACCCAGTCGTTAACTCTCACATTATAGAGCATTATATTTTGTATAATTTATTTGATTTATATACTAGGTGGGCAATAAGAAGTTCATTTAAAATAGATGACCCCTGTGGCACATAAAGGTAGCACAATTACAGTCTGCTCCCATGAGTCAGAAGATATACAGTTTTGCTTTATTTGCAGGAATGGAACTTTTTTTTTTTTCTTTCTTTATTTCATTAACCACAGAAGTTGTTATTCCTCTCTGAACACATCACTCAAACTATTTTTGATTTTCTTCAAATCACTGATGACTTTTGGGGAAACAGTATGATGCTGTTCCTTTTTGCAAGTCTGTCCTGCTGACAGTGACTTTTCCTCCCGGAGCTCATTTCCGCTCATATCAGACACGGCTGACACATATACAGAGCGGCTTTGGTGCATTACCTTGGGATGCTGCCAATTCTTCCTCCTATGGCAGTTTTAGATTATGCAGTTCGCAGGTTGAAGGGCACATGTATTCGCAACACTAGGTGGCATCTCATCCTCGAATTTCTGTTTTGTCAGTTCTGATGCACTTCACAACACTTCAGTTGTCCCCCATGCACAGGGCTTATGTCATTGTAAATTCCATAATGTGAAGAAATAAATTATGGTTTCATATTTGAATACATGTACTTGAATGAGGATAAAAGACAGGAAAATATTCATTTATGTGCATCAGAGAATGTGAGTAAAATGCTGAGAACCTGTTAGTATTCATGAATGCAGTCAGACAGCATATGACAAATATAAATTTTAGTTAAATCCTTCCGCAAATGTTGATCACGAGCTTCAAAAGGTAGCTTGTCTTGCAGGGCTACAGCAACACATTGTTAATTGCATTAGATTACTTATATTATGCACGCCCATCATTGATGAGTAGCACCCTTTGTCAAGTAAGAGTATGAAAAAAGAAAATATGAGTAAAGCTTACCATGCTGCAAATTAAAAAAAGAAAAAAGACAGAGACAAAAACACACTAGACAGGTCTAGGTTGTATTAAATGTTCTAGATGTTTTATTGGTGTTGGTTTCATTTATTTGACACACATGTTCTACTAGTTGTGTATTTTTTTTTCTTGAATTTCAACCTTTTCAGCCATTTGAGATAGACCCAGCTCGAGACCGCTGCCCCTTCACTGGTCTCCAATACATACATGCACACAGACACGGGCCGGACTGATCGGTATCAGGACCTGGACTGAGCCAGACCTGAATCCAATCAGATAACACAACCCAAGCGCGTAGACTCATCGTCACCGCTCACCACATCACGGCACACTTCACCACATCATACCGGCACGCCTGCAGTGACAGGAACCTGAAAGCCTTGGTTGGTGTCTTGCGTCTTTTGGTAAAAACACAACCTAAAAACCCGCTTTTCTGTTGCACTTTAGAATAGCGTCCTGAAAAACCAGCAAAAATAACTGAAACAAAATACAAAAAGAGAGACGGATGTCTCCCAATTTTATTCTATCTCACCAATATTGTTGATGGTCTTCATGAATGTCTCTCTTGAGCTGTTTTTCATCATGTGTTTTTTTTTTTTATTGTTTCATTTAAATTCAGTATAGAATTATATAGCTTACCTAGAGCACACAGAAAGATCGAGTTGTATTTACCAACTTGGGGGTGTACTGCGATAGTTATTAACAAGGACAATGGTTCACACAGTGCACACAAACAGAGACAAACAGGGCAGGAGGGAAGGGAAGGGAGGGGTGTGAGAGACAAAGGGGGAGAGAGGGGGGACAGGACGCCATGGGGTGTGCTTTGTTAGGCCTAAATGAGGAAAAGCAGCTCTCACATACCTCCCCTCCCGTCTTAGAAATAAAAAAAGACAAGTAAAATCATCCAACCCCCCTACCCCACATATTAAAAAACAACAACACTGTGGCCGTTGAGAACAGAATTGAAGGAAAATGGACGCAGTGAGAACGTCAGGGAGGTGACCACTACGCTGGTCCTCCACAGACAGGAGACGGAGGCGAGAGGTGGCAGTCGAAGTGGTGTCGGTGGTGGGATCTCACTGTGTGATCTTTATATCTGTGTGTGATTGGAGGACAAGCAAAGGGTTGGCGAGGGGGAGGAAAGAGAGAGGAGCGAAGGTATACAGAAATACAAGAGGGGAGAGGACGGGAAGAAGAGGGAGGAGAAGGAGCTGGATGGCCCTTTTTTCCAGAGCGTAGACACTGACTTTGTATCTTTAGCTCATTCAAATCTACATACACAATATGCAGCTGCCGTTTGGTAGATATATTGGTTTATGTACACAGCAGTGACAGAACACATGCAAAGAGTATCATAGGAGATGGGGAGAAAGGGGGCAGGTCAATGTAGAAAGTCGTAAAGGTGCTTTTGCTGTTTTTAATCTTTGGGGCAGTTGTGATGAAAATTGCTTCAAAGCGGCTTTTGTCTTTAAGGGGGCAGGGCATCTGGAGGTGTGTCTTGCCAGGGATGGAATGACAGGGGGCAGAAATAAGTGGAGGATGTAAGGGGCTTGAGCAAAGATGCTCCATCGATCAATAGTATGTCTCCTTTTCCACCCAACCTGGAGTGCAAATGAGAAAAACAGAAAGTTCACAGTTAGTTTAACATATTTTCAACATTTTGGGAAATATTTGTTTACTTGCAGAGAGGTGGATGAGAGAATTAAGACCACTCTAATATGATAAATATGAAGCTACGGTCACCAGTCAGTTAGCTTAGACTGAAAACAGGAACGGCTAACCGAACATCACTGCTAAAGCTCCCCAATCCATTAACATGCTGTTTGTTTATTCTGTACCAAAACTGACAAGTGTCAACTATTGTCTTCAGTATGAGTTTGTAAAGCAAACAGCAGAGACAATATAAAGTTACAACCAAAAAAAAAAGGTTGCCCATATAATGGTTTTTTAAAGGAAAGGGAAAAACGCTTACCCCCAGGGTTCCGGCGGAGGAGAAGTTTTCGAACCTCATCATAAACAAAGATGAGAAAACTATAGGGGAATGCACAAAACCACCAGGTAGGCCTGAGGACAAGACAAGAGAAACAGAAGAATGATAAATATTCAAGTAAAGAGATGACTTATTTTATCTTAATGTAGCGTGTGGGAAGGGTATTTACTTCAGAGGATACATCCTAAGTGCCACATCCATGCCTGGGCAGTAGGACAGGAAGGCAGCCAGGGCTGTCTCTTCAAAGAGGCCGAAGATTAGGATCTTATTCCTGGATTGAGAGACACACATGTTATTGGAAAGACGGAAATGTGATGCAGAACTTGAGATTTTCTGACTTATGACTTATATTTTTACTGACTGTTAAACAAACAACAATCAAAACAATACATCAGATGTCATGTTAGGTTCTGGAAACCCAGCTAATGAACGGAAACATGCATATTGTGTCACAGTGTGGTTCTTGTGCTCACTTCATGCCCTGCTGGAACACAGAGTTGCGTCTGGTCTTGCAGATGATGACATCAGCCCACTGCACTACTACAATACTGACAAAGAAGGCTGTGTGACATGTGAACTCCACAATCTTCCTCTGTTCATATGTCTGAGGAGGCGAGAGAGGGCAGACAGTAAGATGAAGCAACAAAACCTGCAGGCAAACAGACGTTCCATTGAACAAAGCGAGTACTACATGCTCACCCATTGCTGTCCATAGCTGTCTTCCAGGTCATTGACAGAGCGATCGTCCCAGTTGAGCCTGATACCTACTAGTCGAGAGGGGAGGAAACCATTTTCAGCCAAGATGACAAAGTAGGAGAAGAAGCCACCCAGGGCCTGGATCATACCTGAGGAAACAAACACACACACAGATTGAGTTACAGATTTGAAAATGTTTACTCCTCCCTAAACATTGCAGATAGGTCTCAAGATAATCCAGCTATTGTTGTTTGTACACAACGATTTGGGATAAAGTTCATTTTAACACAAAATTACTTTCAGGTAACCCAGATCTAACTTTTAGATTATATTATATTACATTCAAATTTATTGTCATTGCACAAGTACTAAGAAAATAAAATGCAGTCCAGATCAAAGACAATTCATGATCTGGATCAACAATCTTCAGTGCACCCACCAATTTGTCCATAGGCAATGCTGATAAGCCTTTCATTCACCAGCTTGTCCCTGAATGGGTTCCTGGGCTGACGCTTCATGATGTCGCTTTCAGCTGCTTCATAAGCCAGAGAGATGGCTGGAACCTGAGGGAGAAGGAAGGAACGTGAACATTTAGTACAGC